TTAATTTCTTAAGATTTATGTGATTTCTCGTCTGCGTTTCGTTGAGAAAATAAAAATTTAAAAAAAAAAATTGCCGTCTGTTTTAAAAGTTTTAAAAGTAGCAAAAGAATAAAAATAGAAGTGCATCTGCATATATAGCGATATGCAAGTATTGTATATGCAAACGTACATAGCCAAAAAAAAAATATAAAAAATATGTTTAGCTTTTAATTATGTATTTTATATATTTTTAACTTTAACTTACGCATATATGTTCTGGGCATTTGCACCCACTGCAAATCATCACCATTGGTGATGAATTAAAGTTTCTCAATTCTCTTATATCGTTTGTCGCCGACAAACGCTTTTTAATAAAAACACAATTTCATTAAATTACTTTTTAGATTCTAGTAAATAAATGTAGAATGTTGGAGTAGGCGAAGAATGTCGACTCAATGATTGCGGGCTGAAATCACGGAGTTCGGTAGAATTTTCAAAAAAACCTATCCTAGCGCTTTTGAAATATTAATCTTAGAAGTCATTTATCATTGGTTATAGCCATAAAAACGCTGGTATACCCTACCCCCGTAGGTTGTAAGAAAGTTATTATATCCCGCAGCCTTTGTGGTTCAAGATTGCAGTTAGGTTTCTGCGAATGTATATAACACCCAGACGGACTTGAAATAGACCTATCTTTTATTACACCGATCGATTCAGAAGAGATATTTTTAATTTATTGCACTGACACAGAGAAAGTGTTGCATATTTCGAAGTCAGAATATTTATGGCCTTGATATGGAGACTTGATTTCATTTATGTCTCGATGTATTATAAAAAACAGGCTTAAAATATGTTTGTGCGAGTATTACAATGATTACGTGCGAAAGTCTGCACGAAAGCTTCTCAATGAAACCTTGTGGCGCAAGAGTATATTAAGTATGTGGGAATGTATGCAACACCTTTAGATAAGTCGACCATTTATTATACCGATCGATTCAGAATTTCTCATCTAAGCTCGCCTATCTGTCTGTCCGTCCCTCCATCTGTTATTGTTCAAAATATGTTTAACCGACACTTTTGGGATATTTTGGTAAAATTTGGTAGGTTAACGTGTTTTTGTTGAAGGGCAAAGGCAATGTGAATCGATCCGTCCGTCTGTTCGCTTCATTTTATTATGTTCAACGTACAGACTGCAATATTTCAGATGTTTTGATAAAGTTTTGTACACTGGCCCAAGGATGAACGATATTGAAAATGGTTTCAATTGGTCCACTTTTTCGACCATTTTCCATATAAGGCCTTATATTAGAAAGTCATTATATATATAGCCTTTAAGCCTTATTTTAAAAGTCTGTTATATAACATCGTATATAAAAGGTTTATTGAAATCATGATCAAAGCATTTAAGGAGAGTTTCCATGCAAAGGTTTACTAAACTTGCAGAGTCGTACAATCGTGTAACCATACAAAAAAAAGGCAAAAAATGTCTGTTGAATTACTATGTTTTTAATTGTTTTTCTCCTTTCTCGATTGTCCCATTTCAAAATCTCATGTAAATGATAAATTAATTGACAGCATTTATTATCTTCACACGGTTTAAGTGGTTTTACAACATTTTTTCAACGATAAGGGCGAACAAAATACAAAAATAATATTCAAAATCATAAATACCCGAACTGTCAGACGGAACATAAAGGAATTTCATTCAATACGTATCAATTAAGTTACATAAATATTTTTATATTTATTACTTTTGCCAAAGCAAGCTATATGTCTGTATATACCTTAATGTGTGCTCTGAGCTCACATTCTTTAAATGCAAAGTTAATCCGTATTTCACTAGCTTTCGCGTTTAGTAATAAAATATTTTATGGCTTTTATTTGCTCCACAATGATAGTTACATGTTATAAGCTGACCAGACCTCTTCCCTTTTCGAGATTTATATTGATTTTTAATGATATCTGCATACTTGCGCAGCTCTTCTTTAAATCTCATAGAAAATGAGAAAGAAAATGATATGTGTACGACTAAGAACCGAAAAAATATTCAGAAATGAAAATTTTGAATAGATATGCGACATATGCGAAGACTTTTCATGACCAAAAAAGAAGTATTGTCACAAAAATTGTCACAAGTTTCTGCGCTGTTCCAAATATAAAGATAGGTATAAAGGTAGATTTACGTATTCTGTCATCTCAAGGCCTTTACAAGTGTGTTTATATGTGCACATACCTATATGTATTTATATATATATATATATATATATATACATATACATACATATATGTGTATATATGTACACAGATATATATATATTTCTTTTTTAATCTGACCAATCACTTAGCGGATGTACTCTGCACGTGTATGCTACGGTAACGGTAAGGAAGGAGTGGGAATATAGAAGAAGAGATAGGGAGAGACTGTATCCCAGTGGAAGTGTGCCCAATCCATAACCGGCTGCGTACTGGTTATAGACTAAGTATGGCCAAACCGCAATAAGATTTGAATCCGCGAACACCGACTAAATAGCCACTACACTTATCCACTCAGTTATGCTGCCGCCCGGGAAAAGACATTACTGTTCCTTTAGGTACAGCATTTTTACAAAAAGATTCTGTTCGTCTAATACCACATCTTTTACATTATGTCCAAACTCATTTTTACTTTAATTTTTTTTTTTGCACTCGAATATTATAAGCAATCTATGATAAAACTAAAAAATTTGAGCCATCTATATGTAACTTTTTCTTACCACATAGCCGTTTAACATGTTTCTTTTTTATCAAGTTACGATTTCAGCCCTTTCGTTTGAATCTAAACTGAAATTTTTTTTCATTGATATTTGCGCCTTAAGTTTGAAAAGCGGACTAATCTGCATAAGTGCTGTACAAAAAAATTTTATACAGATTTGTAAAGAGTAAGTGAGCAGTGCGTTTTCCCTTCCTCTTAAATTTTATAAAAATTGGATTTGGAAGGTACACGGTATGTGAAATATTCGATGTGGGATGGTGATCGGTTGAGCAAGGGTTCGGAGTGTGCGAATTTGGGTTAGTGTATGGCTTAGTATAAGCCATTCTAAGGATTTATACGTTTTTGGTGGGAGCCGTATCTCTTCTCTCGATAATTAAATGAGTATTGTTTTGATGTGAAATAAAATTTTTTTTCCTTCATATTTCCTTTTTAAGTTAAAAAATAATCTAATATGCATAAGTTTTCTAAAAACATGTATATTGATACATAGAGAGTAGGTAAGCAGTGTGTTTTCCATTTACATTACAATATACCAGGTTTTGCTAACTTTTATAAAGTAGTTAAGAATGTACGGCTTATGAGCCACCCTGAGATTTTATATATGGTTTGTTCTTTAAACTAAAACTTTTCTGCGGATGAAAATGATTGACTTTTTTTTGTTTTTAAAGAACAAATTGTCTCAAAAAAAAGCAAATTTTGGAGGCAAGATCAATTTACAAGTCACAGTTGCTTTAGTGACTTTTACAATGGGAAAAAAATTGAATTCCTTGTATTAGTAAACCGTGTCTTTTTAATGACGAAAAGTAGTGTCGAACTAAAACAATGGCGTAAGAAGTTTTTTTTGGACTCTTCTCCATCGAAGCCAATGGTAGAGAAATGGTGTCCCGATTTCAAAGGGGACCATACAAGCACCGATAATATTGGGGGATCAAGCCGCCCGAAGTAGGCCGTCGTTCTCAAACAGTTTATCCAAATGCTCGTAGTTGTTTCGGAAGATCGAGAAGTGAGGGTGAGTGAGACCGCCAGCGTCTTAATATCAACAAGCAGAAGTGTACCTACTAACATGCCTTATATGAATATTTGTTCATGTAATATCAATCGCCAAAATAGAATAGCGCCCTGGCTCACATTTAACCAAAAACAACAATGTGTTGGTTAATCAAAGTGCTGTTTGAAGCTATCTAGGCGAAAGAAAGAGAATTTTCTCACGCGATAGATGACAATGTATTCATCATTACACTCCAAGGTCACAGAGCAACCGGCAGAAGTCGTCCCAAACGTCCAGAAACGCCAAAGTGGGCTAGAAGGCCTACAATGTTCCTGTCTCGGGATGCACATGGTTTAATATTTATCAACTATGTTGAAAAAAGATAATAGTGAAGATCGGTAGTGAACATCATATGACATTGTTAGTCGCTTTGAACGACGAGGTAGGAAAATATGGCCTTGATCTTATGAATTTGATGAATGATGCGTTACAATAGACTATGTATTAAGCAAGGATCCTATACAAAATCCATCACTAATTATAATCTGTTTAATTTGGAGTCTTCAAGATTCAGTTGACGAAACGTATTATAAGCTTTTACTTATTTATCTTCTTTTTCTCTTTCTTTACAGGTAATAATGCAACGACCTTCGTGATCATCACCAATAATAAGCAGCAATTACCAGAAAACTCATTATCGAACGCCTTAACAATGCCACAAATTTATAGTTTGTTAAGTATTAAAACATCAACATCAACAAGAAATCATCCAGCAAAGCATCGAAATTATTCGCTTACTATTGCAAAAGCATAAAACTCACTTTCCATTTCAAAAAAAAAAAAAAAAAAAAAAAAAAAGCAACAAAAAACACAAAACAAAAAAGGAAATTAAAAAAAAAAAGAGAAAAAGTTTTAATAAATTTATTTAATTGAAAATGAAAACTTCGGCTAAAATTGAAAAATGTATTATCAGCGAGGACGACGAAGACGATACAGAACATGATGATGACGACTATCGCGAGCGACGACATTACAATTATGCAAAATTTCGCAAACAAACTCTGCAAACAATACCGCGCTATGCTAATGATACGGTTACTTAAATTCATTTAAAAACCAGAAACTTCCGAAACGAGTTCAACGTTTGCGTCCTTTGCATAAAAAAAAAAAAAAAAAATGAATAAATAAATAAATAAAAGAAGAAGAAAACTTGTAATGAATAAATAATTGTTCCCAATTACAAGGTGTCAATACATGTATATATATCTACATATATATAAATATATATATATAAGTTTTTAACATTTCGTTTACAATTAAACGATTAACGAACAAAAAAAAAAAAAAAGAGGACAAAAACCAGTTAAAAAACAAAAATAAATAAAAACGAATTTTTGTGTCGTGTTGTTGTTAATTACATATACAAGCAATTTGCTAACGCATTTTTTATACATACATATATATTTCGCTATCTTAAACGAAGGGGTGTAACCGCATTAAATAAAGCCCCAGTGAAATCATCTGAATACACATATATAAGAGAATATTTTAAGCGGATGATATTTCATTGGAAAGTGTTGTTGCACTGTATAGGTAGGATACGAAAGGCACCGTTCACATAATTGAAGCGTGTGTCTGTTCATGCGAAGGAATCTCCGTTTGGATTGGAGGGCCCTAGCGCTGCTGGGTGCCCTCCTTTCGATTATAATCGATTGGCCGGGTCTGGTTTATGCAATGCCGATTTTATTACCATCATCATCATCATCGTCGTCGACGTCGTCGTCGTCGTCGTCGACAACAATTGCATCCACACCCATCGCTGCTTATATTGAAAACATAAATGTAATTAATGTGACTAAATACGTGTCGTCTGCTGCCGGTGCAATGTCAGTTAAGAATAATAACAAGAACAATAACAATAATCTAAGTGAGCAAAGTTTGACACAAAACATACGCTATAACGCTACTATGGATATTGCTGGCAGATTTAGTTTATTAAGGAAACAACGAAAGATTCTTTATCTTAACGAAAACAATATGAATCATTTACTCAATAATAGACATTCAACGACAAATGAGAAGCAGGAGGTTAACGACAAAATAACTCATAGTATTAGTAAACAAAATATCAATAAGAGTAATAAGAATAATAATAATAATAATAATAATAATCATAGCGGAACTGCCATTTGTGCCGGCCAAACATACAAATATACAAATCATCCGAAAATTAACGCAACAGAAAATTTTCATCAATTAATTGAGGAAATTCCTATTTCTCATATGGCAACAACCACCGAATCCAATACATTCACTACCGACATTTATAGTGATATTGCCATCAATACTGAAAGCAGTGCCGTTAATGAAGATGAAGATAATGATAACGATAATGATAATGAGAAAAATTCTTCATTATTTGCTGCTGCATTTCAATTCTCTTCATCGAATCATTTAGCTGTTCTATCACGTACCGAGCGTAGTATAAGTTCACTTTCATCATCGCACAGCTTTCAAAGATCACCTGATAGTGTTAGTAGCAGTAGTAGTAGTAGTAGTAGCAGTAGTAGTAGTAGCAGTAGTAGTAGCAGCAGTAGTAGGGGTGTTCGCAGCAGTAGCAGTAACGGTAGCGGTATTGTACGCCGTTCTTCAGATGCCAATGGTGTGAAATCGAAAAGACTGAATAATTCTAGAATACAACACAACAACAATAATAAGAACAACTTAGATCGCAATGAGCGTTCGACGCTTTCTCATCTCTCGGGGCCGTCACGAAAAATTCAATTGTATATAAAAAATCGTTTCATTCAACTAATGCCAGATGGCACCGTAAATGGTACGCAGGATGATCAAAGCGAATACAGTAAGTCTTAAATGCTTTTATTATTTTATATTTTCTTTTATTATTATTATTATTATTATTATTATTATCAACATCCCTTATATTTTAGCAAAAACTTGCGTGAAAATATGTATTCAAAATTTTTCAATTTCATATCATTTTTATTTTGACTTTTTTCTTAATTTTTTTAAGAAAATAATAACATTGTAAAGTCTCAAGGAAACAGGTACATGGGCTATAGTGGGTCAAAGCCGATCATTAGATACCCTACACCATTTCGTTTAATTAATAATACCGCAAATATTGCCTTCGCGTAATTCGATAATTTTCATGAAAGTTCTAATATTGGACTTTGGTACTCAAACGTTCAAGCGGTCTAAGTTTACCTAGCTTGATTTATTTATCAAAGATTATACCATTTTCCAATTGCTTCAGTCATAACAAACCGCAAATTAGACTTGTTCTCCCAAGGAGGGCTGGTAAACAATAGATATATGTGGTCCAACTTAATTTACTTGTGAAAGATTTTTCTAATTTTCAGTTGTTTCCGTTACTACAAAACGCACATTAGACTTTGTTCCCCAAAAAGGACTTGCTATCGTGGGAGTCTGTATGTATGGCGCGGTACCAAAAATGGACCTATGCGATCCAAATTGCCTTTCACAAATTTACTAAGTACAAATTTTCATTTTAGACTGTTAGAAGTGGACTTTGTTTGGCATACAAAGGCTTATTTTTCATTAGAACTCTCACATGATTTGCGATCCAAAATATAGATTTACTTGATCCAATTAATTTTATTAATTTTTATGTCACGTCATTCTTATAAATGAATTTTCATTAAGAAATAATGAAAGTGAGATCTTTCTACCATATAAAGATTCAATGTTCCTAGGAACGGTTATAGGAGCGGGGAATCAAAAACTTTTTCTATTCGATCCAAAGTTTTTGCCCTAATTAAGGATGTTGAAATACTATTACTGAGCGACTTTTATGGCGGCATTTTAACAATTCAATTTTTTTTCTTATGGCGACTTATTGTAATAAGGCGTTATATCGGGGCATTATATGGTCCGAAACATTAAAAATTGCCCTTCGTTCTTAAGCGAAGACACGTCAGTGTACTAAGTTTCATTAAAAAATATCTCAAAAATTGTGACCTGTAGGTAGCAAAGACGGACAGCCAAGGTATGCCCTCAGATCATTCTTGAGCATATGCAACTTCTTTCGCAAATATCTGAGCGAGGTCCTCATTTTTACAGATGGGAGAGCGCTTAGCGCCGGTACATTGGTAGCCAACGGACAGACGGGCAGACAAACTTAGGTCGTTTCATCCGAAAATAATTCTGAATCGATCGTTATATTAATAGGCGGGTATATCTTAAATTGTACTGGATATCACACCCGCCCGCACAAAATTAATTTACGCTACCATACCTATATACAAATACTACAAGTAGTGTAGGGTGTAAAAAGAATTATTAGAATTGATGTTTTTCAACTAACAAATAAAATAAATTTATGCTGAATGATTCACCAATAATTTTCTCTTTTCTTTTTTTTTTAATTGCAAAACCAAACATAAAAATAAACTGTTACACCAGTTACTTTCAAGTGTTCTCGATAGTATTGCAACAAATGAAACCATACAGAGAAAGAGAAAGCAAAAGATAAAAAAGAAAAAGAGCAAACATTCTTGAGAGTAATCAATTAAATTTTTGAGAAAACCTTTAAATCAACTCAAAAACTTCTTTATGGGTTCATTGTCTTTACTTTTGTCTTTAGAATAACAAAACGCATCCAAAGCGAGAGTAAGTTAACAACATCATATCAACAACTTGCGATCTCTGTTAATAATTCAATCAAAAGCACAGAAGTCAATTGTCTCATGTTACAACAACGCAACGTTACACGTAAACGTTACTCACGTAAACTTGGTTGTTTTTTTGGCTTTTTTCTGCTAGAGCACCTTATATTGAGAGGAGAAGAAAGAGAGAGAGAGAGAGAGAGAGAGAAAAAAATAAAGGAACAAGAACAACAATCAATAACAATGTTTGGAATATATCTTGAAATCCCATAAAATTATCATTAAAGAATTTTTGGGGGAAAAAGCATGTTTTTGATCACAAAATAATTTTTTGTTGTTGCTTGTGTAGCCTTCGTATATATGTTTATTTATTTATATGCAATCGTGTCTATATATTATGTATATGTATATACAAAATTGTACTTATGTTACGATGTTGCTTAGCCTTGCGATGTACTAAAAATTCTTGAAAGAGAAACACATAAAATATGTCATTCGTTTAGTGATAATCGATCTTGAAATTACGAACAAATCTTGGAACGAATCTTCAATACCTAACATATCGAATCAAAATCAAAACATATAATAATAATAATAATAATAAAAATTGTTAAGTAGTCTGTTGGCAATAAGCCTTTGAGCTTGAATATTGATTTTGATGTTGCGCCTATAGTACGTTTGTAAAGCGCTATTGACTTGGATTTGCTAATAATTCATAAGATTTTGTTTATTCCAAGAATGTTTGCATCGGCGGATTGACATCATCTTCAAATTTGATACGTATTGCAAATATTTTTACCTTCACTATAATTTTCTATTTCAATTTTTTAATAAAGAACAGACGGACAGACGGACGTGGATAAATAAAATTATTTTAACTTTTCATTACAATTTGCCAGTAGCAGCAAAACAGACAGACAGACGGACAGAAGGACATGACTAAATTAAATGCATTTAATATGAGAGGTTCTGTAGTGATATTACAAACGGCATAGCAAACGTAGTATGCCTTGAAAATAAATAAATTGCAAACAGCTACATAAGTTTAAGAAAAGCCATACTTTCAGGTATACATTCTAAGGAAATTTTCGACTTCAAAACTTTCGACAATCATGTCAGTATAATGATCGTTTTGCTTTCAGATAATTATTGTTATTGTTCAGCAAGTCCGTTAAGTTTCTTAACATTACGATGAGTGACATGACAGCACACCTACGTAGAGGTGATGGAATGATCGATGTACTCTGGGCGATAAAAAGAAATACTTTTATGTAATGAATCATTTTCATAACCCATTTCATTACATTCTTGTGATTCTTTATTACTAACTTCCTTTTTATTTAGTTATTAATTTTTGTGAATGAATTTTAGATGCGACAAATTATTATAAAACATATCAAAGAACGGCGTGATTGCTGAGATCTATTACACGGCATTGAATCCATCTTTCTAATGTCAGTCACTAGCATAGGTACGATATTTAAAAGAAAAGAAGAATTTCAATGCGATATCTTTGGTATATCGGACCTATTTTATATCATGCCAGTCTGAATAAAATTTCGCCTGACATTTGGATCATCTTAGATTTTAATTTGAAAAGTAGAACAAGAATAATTTGGAAAATAAGTTTGTTCTTCCGGAACTTCACACTGCGGAACGGGCAGTTGAAAGGACAGACAGACGGACACGCCCCCCTAAATTGACAACCCACAATTTACTTTACTTTATGGGATGTCTAAATGGGGTTACCAATGTAACCCCACTTTTCGGTTAGGCAGCAGCATATAAAACTGCAACTCTTCTAGTGATAGAAGTTTAGTTAAAAAAAAAAAAAACGCTTACTAAGATTTTCAGCGGCCTAAAAAACTGTCAACTTTACTTCGTTTCTGTCAAGAAAAAATTTGTGATAACTTTACCCTATAGTGTTTTTGATGCTTATTTCTACATGTTACAAATACTTGTCAAATGCATTATGCCCCCTATGGCGAATATTAAAAACATTTTAGGAAATTTTTTTAATGCGCATTAGTAAATGTTGTAAACTGAACAGCGGGTCTTTTGGAATTTTTGTAAAAACGCAAAAAAAAAAAAAAAAGAAATAGTAAAGGACATCCAAGTAAATGCTTAAACTAGATATGCGGATTATATAATCGTAATCTGTGTTCTTTATTTCTTATTGATTGTATATTTTACTTTTAGTAATTGATAAAATTTAATCAATAAAAAGGTATGTTTTGTCTTTAAGTAAAAAGAAGAAAAAAAATAAAAAACAATAAAAAACAATAACTGCAATATTATTACAAAATCAATTCTTACATGCACTTATTACATACACCCTGTTACATATATATGTACAGACATACTTGCAAACATGCATACAATGCTTTCATGCATTCATAGATAGTTATGTAGCTGTCATAAATCTTACAATGTGGCCTAATCCAATTTAATAAATGCACTCGAGGCGATTAAATGCAAGCAAGCAGGAGAGAGGCAGCCGAGCCGTCGTCGCAAGCATTCAAACGTTTAGTGCCAACACCGTCACTTGTGCCGGCATAATATCAAGTTTTAGTTATTTTGTATTTTTCTTATTTTATTTTCTGCAAAAACCAAACAGACCCAGTAGCCTAATGCCCGATAAAAAAAAAAAAAAAAAAAAAAATAAATAAATAAATAAAAAAAGCATTCATGTATGTGTATACACGCGGCAATACTTAAACATTGTAAATGCCAGAAACTTAACAAAAAGAGTCAAAAGAAGCGTTTTACTTGCACACAAACGCACACGCGCACACACGCGCACACACTCACGCATATATACATTATAGATACGAGAGCTTGCATATAAGCATAACAAAGTGAATTAAATTTTACAACACTTGATTTGAGGACATTTGCTTATTTTATTGCATTACTATAAATCTTATATGGATCTTGTGAATATTGTTTTTTTTTTTTTTTGCTAAATGTTTTAACAATAAATCGCATTTTATTTGATGAAAAAAAGAAAAAGGAAAAAAATGTTCAGATTTTAAAATGATTAATAATTTTAAACCGTATATGTTTTAAATTATATTGGGGTTTTGCGTGTTCACTCAAAATGCATATAAGAATGCATCTAACCGGCAGTTATTAATTTATTTATTTTTCTTTTCTCTCTTGTTATAACCATCACCGAAACATAGAAGATATATTCATGTTGTCAAAACGTTTG